TGACGATGAGGATGAGGATGAGGATGAGGATGAGGATGAGGATGAGGATGATGATGATGATGATGATGATGATGATGATGATGATGAGGATGAGGATGAGGATGAGGATGAGGATGAGGATGAGGATGCTGCTGCTGCTGCTGATGATGATGATGATGATGTTGATAATGATGATGCTGATGATGATGACGATGATGCCGATGCTGATGCTGCTGTTGATGATGATGCTTATGCTGATGCTGATGCTGACGATGGTGATGCTGATGATGATGCTGATGATGTAGATGATGCTGTTGATGCTGATGATGATGATGATGACGACGATGCTGAAGATGCTGATGATGATGCTGATGACGATGATGATGACGATGATGATGCTGATGCTGATGATGTTGATGATGATGATGACGATGATGATGATGATGATGATGATGATGATGATGACGATGATGATGATGATGATGATGATGATGATGATGATGATGATGATGATGATGATGATGATGATGAGGATGAGGGTGAGGATGAGGATGAGGAGGCGGAGGAGGAGGAGGCGAAGGAGGAGGATGAGGAGGAGGCGGAGGAGGAGGAGCGGAGGCGGAGGGAGAGGATGGGGGAGGGGGAGGGGGCGGAAGAGGAGGAAGGAGGAGGCAGAGGAGGAGGAGAAGAAGGAGGAGGAGAGGAGAAAGGAGGAGGAGGATGAGGAGGAGGGGGAGGGGGATGAGGAGGAGGAGAAGGCGGAGGAGGAGGAGGCGGACGAGGGGGAGGATACGGAGGAGGAGGAGGAGGAGGAGGAGGAGGAGGAGGAGGAGGAGGAGGCGGAGGAGGAGGAGGAGGAGGAGGAGGAGGAGGAGGGGGCTTATGAGGATGATGAGGAGGAGGCGGCCGAGGAGGATGATGATGAGGAAACGGAGGATGGGGAGGAGGCGGAGGAGGGGGGAGGAGGAGTTGGAGGAGGAGGAGGAGGAGGAGGGGGAGGAGGAGGAGGAGGGGGTGGGGGCAGGAGGATGGTGATGACGATGATGATGGTGCTGATGCTGACGCTGCGGATTATCATGCTGATGCTGAGCTGGTGCCGCGGATGATCATGCTGATGCTGATGATGATGATGATGATGATGATGATGATGATGATGATGATGCTGATGATGATGATGATGATGATGATGATGATGATGATGATGCTCATGTTGATGATGATGCTGCAGTTGCTGATGATCATGATGATGACGACGATGATGATGCTGATGAGGAGGTGGAGGATACGGAGGATGAGGAGGAGGAGGCGAAGGAGGAGGAGGAGGAGGGTGAGACGGGCACGGAAGAGGACACGGATCGTGACCATGAACAGGGCATGAGAGGAATTGCCATGCGAGGAGAGGAGGAGGAGGGGAGGAGATGGGAAGAGGAGAGGGGATGGGAGGAGAGAGGAGAGGAGAGGCGATGAGAGGAAGAGAGAGGAGGAAGAGGAGGATGAGGAGGAGGACGAGGATGACTAGACGGGTGATGATGATGATGAAGATGATGCTGATGATGTTGATGATGATGATGCTGCTGACGCTGACGATGATGATGATGCTGTTGACGCTGATGATGGTGATGCTGATGATGGTGATCATGATGCTGATGCTGATGAGGATGAGGATGACGACGCTGATGGGGCTGATGATACTGATTATTCTGAGTATGATGATGATGCTGTTGCTGATGGCGATGATGCTGGTGCGGCTGCTGATGATGATGACGATGTTACGGCTTATGATGATTGTGACGATGGTGATGCTGATGACGATGATGATGCTGATGATGATGATGCTGCTGATGGCGAGGCTGACGATGATGGTGCTGATGACGATGCTGATTTTGATGCTGATGCTGATGCTGCCGATTCAGATGATGCTGATGATGCTGATTATGATGCTGATGATGATGATGCTTATGATGATGAGGATGATGATGATGATGATGATCATGTTGATGATGATGCTGATGATGATGATGATGTTGATGATGAGCATGATGATGACTATGCTGCTGATGATGGTGATGCTGATGATGCGGATGTTGATGATGATGCTGCTGATGATGATGATGATGAGGACGATGATTATGGTGATGCTGATGATGACGATGATGATGATGCTGCTGATGATGATGATGGTGATGATGATGATGATGGTAGAGCTGATGATGATGACGACGATAAAGATGAGGAGGAGGAGGAGGAGGGTGATGATGAGGAGGAGGCGGAGGAGGAGGAGGAGTATACGGAGGATGAGGAGGAGGAGGAGGAGGGTGAGACGGACACGGAAGGGGACACGGATCATGATCATGAGCAGGACAGGAGAGGAATTGCCATGCCAGGAGAGGAGGAGGCGGGGAGGAGATGAGAAGAGGAGAGGGGAGGGGATGAGAAAGGAGAGGAGAGGCGATGAGAGGAAGAGAGAGGAGGAAGAGGATGATGATGAGGAGGACGAGGAGGACTAGACGGTTGATGATGATGATGATGATGATGTTGCTGATGATGATGATGATGATGATGATGTTGAAACTGATGATGATGCTGATGATGATGATGATGATGATGATGATGATGATATGCTGTTGACGCTGATGATCATGATGATGATGATGTTGATGATGCTGATGACGATGATGGTGATCATGATGATGATGCTGATGATGACGAGGATGACGACGCTGCTGATGCTGATGGTAATGATGGTTCTGGGTATGATCATGATGCTGCTGCTGATGGCGATGATGCTGATGCTGCTGCTGATGATGATGACGATGCTTCCGCTGATGATGATGGTGACGATGCTGATGCTGATGACGATGATGATGCTGATGATGAGGATGCTGATGGTGATGATGCTGATGATGGCGCTGTTAACGACGATGATGATTTTGATGCTGATGCTGATGCTGCTGATTCAGATGATGCTGATGCTGCTGATTATGATGATGATGCTGAAGATGTTCATGATGATGCTGATGATGATGATGGTGGCGATGATGCTGATGCTGCTGATGATGATGATGCTGATGAGGCTCGTGAGCATGATGATGATGATGATGATGATGATGATGATGATGCTGATGATGATGATGATGATGATGACTATGCTGCTGCTGCTGATGATGATGAATTTGATGATGCTGATGATTATGGTGATGATGATGACGATGATGATGATGCTGATGATGATGATGGTGGTGATGATGATGATGATGATGGTGAAGCTGATGATGCTGATGATGATGACGATGACGATGACGATGATGATGACGATGATGATGATGATGATGATGATGATGATGATGATGATGATGATGATGATGATGCTGATGGTGATGGTGATGGTGATGGTGATGAGGAGGAGGAGGAGGAGGAAGGAGGAGGAGGAGGTGGATGTGAGGAGGAGGAGGAAGGAGGAAGAGGAGGAGGAGGAGGAGGAGGACGATGAGGTGGGTGGAGGAGGAGGATGAAGAGGAGGAGAAGGAGAGGAAGAGTGAGGAGGAGGAGGAGGAGGAGGAGGGAGGTGGAGTGGGCGGATAGTAGGGATAGGAGTAGGAGTTGGAGTAGGGGTAGGAGGATGATGAGGATGATGTGGAGGAGGAGTCGGAGGTGGTGGAGGGGGGGGGCAGGTGGAGGAGGAGGAAGGGGAGGAGGAGGAGGAGGAAGGAAGAGGAGGAGGAGGAGGAGGAGGAGGAGGAGGAGAGAGAGGAGGATGGAGGAGGAGGAGGCGAAGGAGAGGAAAGGAGGTTGAGGGAGAGGAGAGAGAGGAGAGGAGAGGAGAGGAGAGGAGGAGGAGAGGAGAGGGTAGGATAGGAGAGGAGGAGGTGGGAGAGTGAGGAGGAGGAGGAGGAGGAGGAGGCAGAGGAAGGAGGAGGAGGAGGAGGAGGAGGAGGCGGAGCAGGAGGAGGGAGGAGGAGGGAGGGGGAGGGGGAGGAGGAGGAGGAGGAGGAGGAGGAGGAGGAGGAGGAGGAGGAGGAGGACAAGCTAGGTGCGCTCGCGTCATATCTGACATCCTACCCCTCCCTCCCATCCCTTACCATGGCGCAGATCCCCTCTCTACTCGCACAGTCGGATGTCGAGCAGGACAATGATCCCGAAAGGGTACGCGATGCATTGTAGAGCACGGCATGGCATGGCGTAGAAGAGCACCGCAAAGCGTAGTATCAACCGAGCATTGCGTTGCATGCCGTGGCATGGCCGGGAAATGACGCCAGCGCTGCAGCGGGAGCACGAGTCGAAGCGAGCGGAAGCGCGGAAATGAGGCCAGCGCTGCAGCGGGAGCACGATTCGGAACGAGCGGAAGCACGGACATGAGGCCAGCGCTGCAGCGGGAGCACGATTCGGAACGAGCGGGGCCCGAAAATAAGGCCGGGGCCTCAGCGAGAGCAGCATTTTGAACAAACATGCAGGCGACAATCCAACTCTGGGGACACCTGTGCGTAAAAACCAGTACGCGGGGGGGGGGGGTCGGACACTCCCAGGCCGCCATCAGGGGAAGAGGGAGAGTAGTATTCATATTGAGTAATTGTGGAGGAGGAGGAGGAGAAGGAGGAGGAGGAGGAGGAGCAGGAGGGGGAGGAGGAGAAGGAGGAGGAGGAGGAGGAGGAGGAGGAAGGGAGGAGGAGCAGGAGCAGGAGCAGAGGAGGAGGAGTAGGAGGAGGAACAGGAGGAGGAGGAGGCGGAGGAGGAGGAGGAGGAGGAGGAGGAGGAGGAGGATGGGGATGAGGAAAAAGGAGGAGGAGCAGGAGAAGGAGGAGGAGAAGGAGGAGGAGGAGGAGGCGAGAGGAGAACCTGGACGAGAAGGAGGATAATGAAGATCTCCGAGCCCCACGTCGGCATCGGTGACGACGGCAGCAAAGGCGGCGACGGTGACGACGACGACGACGACGATGGCGACGACCAGCGCTGCGATGCGCCGCGCGGGCTCTGGCCGCCGCAGGAACTACGACCCGACGCCCCTGTGGCTCGCAGGCTTCCAGATGGTGGCCTTGAACTACCAGAGCTCCGACCTGCCCATGGTGGTCCACGAGAGGGGGGGGCACACGAGCGGCGAACATATTTGTATCCACGCCCCCGCGCCCTCGCGGTCTGGAATTCTTGGGCGCGGTCCAGCGGATACGCGGTCACACGGGTACGTTCCGCGCGGGGCATGCGCGAAAAAACGTTCCGTATCCGCGGGGTCGCGGCCCAGGGGCCCGGCCCGCCATTCCATTGTGCGGATACACAGATATATTGTTCGTGCAAGGGGGCCTGTCGGCCAGGGGTCGGTGATTTCCGGGAGCAGCAAGGAGGAGTTGCAGCAAAACAGCAGAGGGAGGGGAGTCGAGGGCGAGGGGAGGGAGAGAGCGCGAGGAGTAGGGAGGGGAGGGGGGTCGAGGATCACGAGAGCCTGGGTCTCTTCCATCCTTGCATTGATCATAGCGCTTGTTGTTCACAAACGTTTACTTTGTCTTTCGAGCCCATTTGTGTCACCCTCGAGTCTTGCCGCTTCAGGAACGCAACATTTGGAGAACCACACTCTCGGAGGTCCGCGCTGATTTCTTGGACTGGCGCTGGCCTCCCCTTGGCGGAGCGCCGCTCCCGGCGCGCCTCGGGGTCCAGCGCCGACCCAAGACGTCCGCGCGGACCTCCGAGCGTTTATCTTGTGGCCTTCGGTCTATCCCGCCACCGCGCCTGGCTTGCGGGGATCTCTCGGAAGGCTCTTGGAGGCGGTCTTGGGGATGTCTCGGGGCTTCTTGGGGGCTTCTTGGGTCCTCCAGGGGCCCCTTGTGAACCTCTTGGGGGCCTCTCCTGGGGCGTCCAGGGGGCCTCTTGGGCGGCCTGCTGGCGGTCTCGGCGGTCATCTTTGGGCGGAGGGTTCGCCATGTAGGTTCGCCTTGGGGGGCCTCTGGGGCAGTCTCGGTTTCTTCTTGGGTCCTCCTGGGGCCCTCTTGGCGGCCTCTTGGGCCGTCTATGGGCGATCTTGGAAGCCTCCTGGGCCGTGTTGGAGCGATGGGAGCCCGAAAAGGCGAGAACGTCAGATTATGTCGAAACCCTATGGGCCCAGTGTTTTTGCTTCTTGCAGCCCTCAGGGGGGGTCATCTTGGAGCCCTCTTGGGGTGTCTTTGGGGCCTCTTGAGCAGTTTTTGGGTTATCTTGGGCGTATTGAAGCACTCCTAGGCCCTCCCATATGCTTCTTGAGCCCGCGTGGAAGCTTCGTTGGGCCCTCTTGGCCTGTCTTGGGGTCCTCTTGTTTCTGGAAAGGTCATGCGGGGACACGCGACAAGCCCCAGAGAAGCCAGGAATATTGCCTCGGGGGCCAGTAACCCATAGCTCCAGAGGATTTGGGACTGACGACTCACGGGGCCTGAGGACACTCCATCTCGCGCCTCGCGACACGATGGCGGATGCCAGTTTTCTTTTATAGGTGAGGTGATCGCAAGTGTTGTTGTTGCCAATTCTGGCCTGCCAACACGTCCCTTTCTTGTACACTATGACGCTACAGTTTATATGTATGCGTATGAATCAGCATATGCGGAGCAATCGGATCCTATTACTCCGCGTGTTCAATATACGGTGTGATCTTTTTCTACCAGTAGAATGTACATCAATCGGTTCAATGATTTAGTGTATCCATCGTCCTCCTCCCCCCTCTTCGTCTTCGTCCTTGTCCTTCTCCACCCCCAGGTCAACGAGGGCCTCTTCTCCCACGAGAACGGCGGCTGCGGCTACATCCTGAAGCCACCTCAGTGCCAGCCTAGCAACGGGGACGCCGCTCGGGAGGGGAAGGGAAGGCCCCTGGTCTTTGTCGTGGTCAATCGCAGCGCGGGTCTAGGGACATTGCTGCTTTGTTGTGACCAGTTCTTTTGGAATACATGTTCTGCTCGTTTTGTTTAGTTTGTTTTCTTCACATCATTTGTTTCTTCCTCAGTTTGATTTACATGTTGTTGTCTGGGACGGTGCTCTTCGTCCCCACGGAAAGTTGTTTGCCGGATGCGATGAGCTCTTCGCAGAGACGTCGATGCGCGCGATCTGGCGTCCGCTCGTAGAACGAGCATAGTTTGAATATATCTAAATTCCTCTCCCCCTCCCAGTACATGAATTCTCCCCTCGGCGCTTGGAGCGGTCCAGGACGGCCCAAGATGGCCCCAAGACGGCTCCCGAACGCCCGGCGGCCTCACGAAGGCCCGAAGAGCTCCCCGGGACGGGGCCAAGATGGGCCCGAGATGACCAGCAGACTACCCAACGGCCAGCCCCAGAACGCTCCAAGACGGCCTCAGGAGGGGCTCCAGGCGGCCCAAGAAGGCCCCAAGACAACCCAACACGGCCCCCAAACCGCATCTGGAGGGTTTCCAGACGGCCCTCTAAGAGTCTCTCCAGGTTTCGCAGAGGGGTCAGACGGCCCCAGAGGGCACCAAGCCGGCCCAAGAGGCCCCCATGGCGGCTTCAGAACGGCCCCAAGAAGCGCCGATCCGCCCTGGACTTGTGAGCGAAGTCGTTTCACGTGAAGCGTGTACACATCGCGGGGGGAGCATGCACGACGCCGGGCCCATGCAGGTTCGTGGAGGAACCGTACGGTCAGACATTGTGTTTAACAGTTGTTGAAACCTGCAACGGCCCCTGTCCTCGTTTTGTGCCATGATCCGCCCTCCTCCACCACCACCTGCTCCTGTTTCTGTCATCATCCTCCCTTCTTCCTCAGGCCACATGAAAGGTTGAGGAGAGCCGAAGGAACGTAAGGGACAGGACAAGAGGAGGGGTGGAGGGGGGAAAAGGGTGAGGACGGGAGTGAGGTGGATGGAAGACAAATGGAGGGGGAGATGGGGAGCAGGAAGAGGAGGAGGGGGAAGGTATAAATAATGGTATTTTGATGTGATTGAGGGCAGGAGGAAACGGGAATTTGGTACTTGGGGGCGGGGGCGGGGGGTACTTTGGAGCGTTGTGTGAGTATAGGGTGATGATGTGATGATGATGCTGATGACGATGAAGACGACGATGACAATGAGGATGATACGAAGCATATCAGACAGGGAGAGGATGGTGAGGATAAGGAGGGCAAGGAGGTGGAGCAAACGATGAGGACGATGGCTGGAAGTATGGTGAGGATGAGTTGGTGTTGAGGCAGACGGGGAGAACGAGCATGGGTAGGGCGCAGGAGGAGGCGGAGAGGGGAATAAGGCAGTGCAGTGACGGGGTTGAGAAGGACAGGGACGGCGAACCAGGAACGGAGATCAGAAGGCAGGATATATTATGAGATGTGATGATGATGGTGATTATGATACTGATGCTGATGCTGATGCTGATGCTCTTGCTGACGCTGGTGATGACGATCATGAGGCTGTTGATGATGATGCTGCTGCTGATGATGCTGATAATGCTGATGATGATGTTCATGATGATGCTGCTGTTGATGTTTATGCTGCTAATGACGGTGCTGATGACGCTGCTGCTGATGATGATGGTGAAGTGGCGGTGACGATGACGATGACGATGCTGTTGACGATGACGATTCTGCTCCTGATGATGATGGTGGTGGTGGTGATGATGTTGATGGTGATGCTGAGGATGATGGTGATGATTATGATGACGATGATGAGGATGATGTTGCTACTGCTGATGGTGATGATGATCATGATTATGGTGATGATAATGCTGCTGGGTGATGATGATGATGTTGCTCATGCCCATGGTGATTATGATGAAGCTGATGCTGTTGCTGCTCATGATGCTGACGATGCTGATGATGCTGATGATGCTGCTGATGATGATGATGATGATGCTGATGCTGCTGATGATGATGGTGATGCTGATTTAGCTGATGTTGATGACGCTGATGCTCATGATGATGGCGATGCCGATTATGATGATGGTGGTTATACTGGTGCTGCTGAAACTGATGCTGATGATGCTGATGATGCTGGTGATGATGAGGGTGATGATACTGACGACGATGCTTATGATGATGGTGATGATGGCGATGCTGATGCTGCTGCTTATTCTGATGTTGTTGAAACTGATGGTGGTGGTGATGCTGCTGATGATTATGATGAAGAATATGCTGATGATGACGATACTGATGCTGTTGATGATGCTGACTATGCTGATCATGCTGATGCTGCTGATGATGATGTTGTTGATGTCGATCATGATGTTGATGGTTATGCTGCTAATGACTGGACTGGTGACGCTGCTGCTGATGATGGTGATGTTGGCGGTGATGATGACGATGGTGACGATGCTGATGACGATGACGATGATGCTGCTGTTGATGCTGCTGGTGGTGGTTGTGATGGTGATGATGTTGATGGTGATGATGAGGATGATGGTGATGATTCTGATGACGATGGCGATGATGATGAGGATGATGTTGCTGCTTCTGCTGATGGTGATGAGGATTGTGAAGATCGTGATGGCGATGCTTCTGATGATGATGATGATGATGATGACGCTGCTGCTCATGCTCATGATGATTATGATGATAATGATGCTGCTGCTGATGATGCCGATGATGCTGATGATGCTGATGATGCTGCTGCTGATGACGATGACGACGATGATGGTGCTGATGATGGTGATGGTGATGCAGATTTTGCTGATGATGGTGGCGATGACATTCCTGATGATGGTGATGCTGATGATAATGCTGATGATTATGCTGATGACGATGATGGTAATGATGAGGATGATGGTGATGATTCTGATGATGGTGAGTATGATGGTGATGATGGTGATGATGTTGATCACGGTGATGCTGATGTTGATGATTATGCTGTTGTTGCTGGTGGTGATGATGCTGCTGGTGATGATGATGCTGATGATGCTGATGATGATGATGATGATGATGACGCTGATGACGCTGATGATGATGCTGATGATTATGATGATGATGCTGATGATCAGGATGATGATGTTGCTGGTGCTGAAGATGACGATGCAGATGATGCAGATGAGGAGGAGGAGGACGATGATGATGATGAGGAGGAGGAGGATCAGGAGGTGGTGGAGGTGGGTGTGGAAGCCGAAGAGGAGGAGGAGAAGGAGGTGTAGGACGAGGAGGAGAAGGCGAAGGAGGAGGTCGAGGAGGAGGAGGAGGATGAGGAGGAGGGGAAATGGGAGGATGATATGTGCGGAGTTGAATGCGAAGCGATGGCGATACATGATGAACATGATGAGGAGGCGGCTGAAGAGGACGAGGCGATGGAGGAAGATGTGGAGCACGAGATGGAAGAGACGGAGGGCCGGGAGGAGGACGACGATGAGACGAGGGGGGAGGATCGGGCTCCCGGCTCTCGACAGGAGTCACCTCCAGGTTCGCAGCGGCCAGCGGTTACGCAGTGCGTCATCGAGCTGCGGGTGCTCTCGGGCCACGACCTGCCGAAGCCCGACGCCATCCGGCTGCCTGCGGCGAGAGCCCCCGCCACACCCAGGCCCCAGGGGGCCAGCGTGGCAGCCTGCCTCCGGGGCGCCCCGCCCATACACGTGGGGGACGGGAGGTCCTCTGGAGGCTGGGCAAGCGGTCTTGTTCGCCCCTGGCCTCCTCGCCCTCTGCCCCGACCTCCGTTGAGGCCTCGTGGCGGGTCCCCGCCCTCTAGCTGCTGCGCGGCGTGCCACCATGAGACGCCGCGTCTCGCCTCTCACTCTCGCGCCCACGCGGGGGACGACAGAGGAGGGGGCAACATGAGCTCGCTCGGCTCAGGTAGGCCCAGAATCCGGACGAGTTCGCTCGCCCTCGGAGCTTTCTGGAGCGCTCTGGAACGAACAGGGGCCCGATGCGCCGTCTAGAGCCGCCCGCTCTCAGAGACCCCCGATGCGTCCGGGTCCGATTCTGTCCCAGTCCTGGCTTCGTCTTTGAGCAGGGTCGGACGGGGCTATAGGACGAGGGCAAGTGCGTTCCGCAACGCTCTCAGAGCGTTCTGGACCTCTGAGGAGACCGCGGCGCCCGAGACACCCCCCAGAGCCGCGAGATTTCATATACTCCCCAGACATGATCTCGTCGTAAAAAGATCAGGACGGAAGGTTGTTGACCATTTTCGGCCCCCGGGGGCCCTCGCTGGGCCTCGGGACCGTCAAAAAATGACTCGGGACGAAAAGCCGGCCCTGGGGAAAGGACTAGGACTTCCAGGGACGCCGTCCTGAAAAAGTCAGGACGCCGCATGTCTGGGCCCAGACCCAGACCCAGACGTCATGATTTGTTCATTGTGTCGACCCCTGGAGGTCTCGACCCATTCCCCTGGACCGGTTTTTCATCCTGAGTCGTTTTTTGAAGGTCTCGAGGGCCGGTAAGGGCTTCCAGAGGCCGAATATAGCAACAAAACCCGTCCGCCATGATTTTCTCATGACGCCGAGGGGGTCGGGGGACCTCAGAGATTCTCGACTTATCCTCGCTCGATGTCGTCCTCGCCGGGCTCCGTCTTCGAGAGGGGGGGCCGGCAGCAGCTGGGCGCGCGCAGAGGTGCGGCCAGGGTCTCGGCACGGCGTGCGCACTCGGCACGGCAGCCCTCCTCCGCCAGAGCAGCACGGGGGGCAGCGGGGAGCATCCGTGGGGCCTGGGGCAGCGGGTGAAGTCGGGACTGCCCCTGCTATTGGAGGAGCATTAGAAAATAGGACAGAAATTGTCTGGGAACGATTTCTTTTTACTATTCTTAACTGTTTTCGAATATTTGTTCTACTATTTCTTCGTTTCCGTCCAAAATGCGCCTGTAATTAGGAGGACGCGCCCGACCGAAGGCTCGGGGGGTGCGGCCAGGGCCCCGTGTTCAGAGGTGGAAGAGGCACCCATACCGCTACCCTTGCCCCGGTTGCCCTTTTTTTGACCTCCCGGGAGGCCCTCGTCGCCACCACTGGATTCGCCTCGAAGTCCTGGTCAGAACGCGCCCCTGGTCCCGGGAGAGGTCCGGAGAGTAGCGGCATCGGTAAACTTCGGCGGCCCTCGGCTTGAGGGCTTCTCCGAAGGGCTCAGGCGACCCGTCCTCCCCCTCCTCCTCCTCCTCCTCCTCCTCCTCCTCCTCCTCCTCCTCCTCCTTGTGGTACGGGCGCTCCTCCTCCTCCTCCTCCTCCTCCTCCTCCTCCTCCTCCTCCGTCCTCCTCCGTCCTCCTCCTTCCTCCTCCTTCCTCCTCCTCCTCCTCCTCCTCCTCCATCTCCTCCTCCCCCTCCCCCTCCACCTCCTCCACCTCCTCCTCCTCGGGTCGCCTACGGCCCCGGGGGAAGCCGTGCACCCTCGGCACGGCCGCTGGGCGCGTGGCCCGTCTTCCGTATACAGTTGGACGGGGCATGAGATCGAGGTCGGCTTCGGGGAGGGTGCCCCCGGGATTCTTCTCGTGCCTGTCGTGTGCTCTTGTGCATCCTGGGGGAGGGTACCCTCGAGTGCTCTTGTGTTAGCGAGGGGGCCGTCTACAGGAAGGGGGGGCCACCCCAAAACGCTAACAGCCAGGCCGGGGGGCACAACAGGCCAGGCCTGGGGGAGGGTACCCTCGAGTGCTCTTGTGGCTTGGGGGGCTTTGGTCGGCGGAGGGTTTCATGTTTTTGGAGGATGTTCTTCTGGCTCAGGTCCGACTGTATACGGGAGGAGGGGTGGCGGGGGTGTGCGCAACCCACTGGGGGAGGAGGAGAAGGAGGTCCAGGTCACAGGCCCAGAGATCCGACGCTGCAAACAATTTGGAGCGGGCGGGGTTTTGGCCGTTTCGGCCTCCGGGGGCCCTCGCCGGGCCTCGGGAGCGTCAAACAATGATTCGGGACGGAATGCCGGCCCTGGAGAAGTGGTCCAGACCACCTCTGGGGCCCAGCATCGAAAAAAGCTGGAGCGGCAGGATGTTTGGGGGCAGAGAGAGAGAGAGGGGGAGAGAGCGGCGGAAAGTGGTGGCGGGGGGCGTCCATCCGACGAAGCGCCCCCGGCGGAGCCTTGCTGTTCGCCCCCTCCTGGGTTCCATCCCCCGGCTGGGGCCCTCCTCCTCCTCCTCCTCCTCTTCTCCTCCTCCTCTCCTCCTCCTCCTCCCCTCCCCCCCCTCCTCCTCTTGCTGCCCTGGAGGAGGAGGAGGAGGATAAGGATGAGAAGGAGGAGGAGGAGGAGGAGGAGGAGGAGGAGGAGGAGGAGGAGGGGGAGGCGGAGTAGGCGGATGAGGATGAGGTCGTGGAGGAGACCACTAATGTTGCACATCGAACTTGGGTCACGCTTGCAAGCGTTGCATCTCACACCATAAATCAAGGATGCTGATTTTTGGGCATGGCGGAACGGGAACCTGAACGAAGCGGGTCCTGGATCCCAGGATTTTGCACAGGAGCAGATTTTACCAAGAGGTGTTTTATGGCAGTCCCCAAGCCAGAACGGCCTTGAGAAGCCGAAAGCACCAGAAAGCATGAGAACCCCTTTCATGGTGACTCTCCCCCTGAGGAGGAGAACGACGAGGAGGAGGAGGAGGAGAAGGAGGAGGACCATGGTAAACCCAAGAGTCATCTACTATGCTGGAAGTAACCCTCCCTCTAAGCTCCCCTTTCATAGGCCCTTGCAGCGATTCATTTCCATGATAGGAGCTGCCTCGTTGGATGGCTGCCGTTTGAAGACCTTGAAACATGCCAACTCATGGTTCTCGGGATTTCCACGCCACGGATCAACCTGACTGCTGCGTCCTGGCGATCTGGAAACGTGCCAGAACGCCTTTTGGGGGACTTCAACACTGCGAGTTAACATACTTCCTGCACCCGCATAATCCAGAATCCTCCCATGATCATGGGTATCCGTGAAATTCTTGCAAATGTTACGAATGTGCGCGGCGCTATGGCGAGGGCCACATTTTGAAAACGACCCGCCCTCACTCCGTGAGGCTCTTGCACAGGTTAAAAAACGAATGGTCGCGGCGCTGGGGCGACAGCCACATTTCCCTACCTAGGCTCTGCCTGGAAGGGTTCTTACTCTCTTAGCTTAAAGGGGCCGGGCAGTGGAAAGCGCCCCGGGCGGTTCCCCCAGTCCCCTGGGAGCGGTTCCCCCCAGTCCCCTGGGAGCTTTAGCTTTAGCTTTAGCTTTAGCTTTAGCTTAGCTTAGCTTTAGCTTAGCTTAGCTTTAGCTTAGCTGTAGCTTAGCTTTAGCTTACCTGTAGCTTAGCTTTAGCTTAGCGTTTCGCTTAGCTTTTCGCTTAGCGTTTAGCTTAGCTTTAGCTTAGCTTGAGCTTAGCTTTGGCTTGGCTTGAGCTTAGCTGTAGCTTAGCTTTAGTTTAGCTTTAGCTTAGCTTTAGCTTAGCTTTAGCTTAGCTTTAGCTTAGCTGTTGCTCAGCTTTAGCTTAGCTTTAGCTTAGCTGTAGCTTACATTTAGCTTAGCTGTTGCTCAGCTTTAGCTTAGCTTTAGCTTAGCTTTAGCTTAGCTTTAGCTTATCTTTAGCTTAGCTTTAGCTTAGCTGTGGCTTAGCTTTGGCTTAGCTTTAGCTTAGCTTTAGTTTAGCTTTAGCTTAGCGTTACTGTTACTACTAATGCTGCTTTCCTTGGGGTTCCAACTCCTAGCTAGGGTCGCACTGGGATAATTTGAAAACCACCCGCCCTCACTCCGTGAAACTCTTGCACATGTTGAGGCGAGAGCCACATTTTGAAAGCCACCCGCCCTCCATCCGTGAAGCTCTAGCAAATTTTTGATTTTCCCAGTGCGACCCTACCTAGGAGTTGGAACCCCTAGGAAAGCAGCATTAGTAGTAACAGTAACGCTAAGCTAAAGCTAAGCTAAAGCTAAGCTAAAGCTAAGCTAAAGCTAAGCCACAGCTAAAGCTAAGCTAAAGCTAAGCTAAAGCTAAGCTAAAGCTAAGCTAAAGCTAAGCTAAAGCTAAGCTAAAGCTAAGCTAAAGCTGAGCAACAGCTAAGCTAAGCTAAGCTAAGCTAAAGCTAAGCTAAAGCTAAGCTAAAGCTAAGCTAAGCTAAGCTAAAGCTAAGCTAAGCTAAAGCTAAGCTAAAGCTAAGCTAAGCTAAGCTAAAGCTAAGCTAAAGCTAAGCTCAAGCTAAGCTAAAGCTAAGCTAAAGCTAAGCTACAGCTAAGCTAAACGCTAAGCGAAACGCTAAGCGTAACGCTAAGCTAAAGCTAAGCTACAGCTAAGCTACAGCTAAGCTAAAGCTAAGCTAAAGCTAAAGCTAAAGCTAAAGCTAAAGCTAAAGCTCCCAGGGGACTGGGGGGAACCGCTCCCAGGGGACTGGGGGAACCGCCCGGGGCGCTTTCCACTGCCCAGCCCCTTTAAGCTAAGAGAGTAAGAACCCTTCCAGGCAGAGCCTAGGTAGGGAAAAACGAATGTGCGCGGCGCTGAGGCGAGAGCCACATGTTGAAAACCACCCGCCCTCAATCCGTGAAGCTCTGGCAAAGTTTGAAAACGAGTGTGCGCGGCGCTGAGGCGAGAGCCACATTTTGAAAACGACCCGCCCTCACTCTGTGAAACGTTTTTTTGTTGCGAATGTGCGCGGCGCTGAGGCGAGAGCCACATTTTGAAAACGACTCGCCCTCAATCCGTGAAACTGTTGCATGTTTTAGACCTTCAGAGTCACACATGGTGAGGAAGTCTCAGGCGGAACGCCCGGCCCGCCCTAAACACTGGCCTCGGGGTGCGACAGGGAGAAAATATTCATGAGGAAGAGGAATGGAGGATGAGGAGGAGGAGGAGGAGGAGGAGGAGGAGGAGGAGGAGGAGGAGGAGGAGGAGCAGGTCGAGCCCAGCAGCCCAGCAAAAGCCAGCCGTGCTGCGAGAAGGAGGCCATGTAAGAGGTGGGGAGCGCTGCAGTGCTGCAGATCCCCACGGATGCGAGGCAAAAGCTGGCCGCCAGAGGTTTCGGCAGCTGCTGTGCAGTGCCAGCGCCGTACCTAATCATCCTCAGGATCGTTCGTTCACGTTCCGCCATGGCCCTCCACTGTACGGTGGGTGCGTTTGTTAAGGGATGTGCCCAGACTCATCGAGAATCAAAGGACCCCCAACCCTAATGAGACAGTGAAGATGTGGCCTCACTCAGGTCCCCGTCTCTGCATTAGGGATAAGGAACCTGGGCGGCTTGGTTCGACACATCTGCAGAAAAGATCCCCTATCCCTATTTTATTATTTTATTGGGGCCTCCTAGCCCAGTTCCCCCCAAAAGGGGTAGGGGTCCTTTTATCGCTAATCTCAGGATGCGTCAGACCCTGGATGATTCCATCAGATGAGGGCGGCGGTGTCATACACAGCCGACCCACGATTGGAGGTCCACCGGCTTCCAGACCCTGGCTTCCTTTATCCCACAGTTCCTGATTTAAGGCCCTCGCTGTACCTCAGGCTCCGCTACGCTACAGTGGAGACCCATGCCAAGAAACACCCTGTTTGCCTCCAGGGTTCCCTGGACGCCCTGGGGTCCCAGGATTGGCTTCCTTTTGGAAGGCTTCTTGCGGTCGAGCTCCTACTGTACGCTGCTCCCGATCGGTCCGAAGGCCGTGCCAATCGAGACCCCGGGGGGATAAGGTTGGCCCGTGCCTCGTATCCGGGCGGTGGTGCGATCGTCGGACATCGACTGCTGCCGAGGCAGGCAGGGGTGGAACGCAGGAGAGGGGAGGGGACGAGGGGAGGTGTGCGGAGGGGAGAGGTCGGCTCTTCCCCTCCGCCGTCGTCTTTTTTTGGCATGATCCTGTAGCTCTCTTGTCATTGTGGTGTCCAGGGCCAGTGATTGGGCCCCGCCTGTTATCCAGGGCAGGAAGCCAGCTCCAAGGACGAGGTCAGAACTTTCGGGGGCCCCGTGCTCCAGAATCACTGCGTCGGAGGTCGGGTACCGTGGCTGTGCCTCTGGGGAGTCGCAGATGTTTTGCCAACCAGCTCGCAGGAGAAGATGTAGCCTTGCACTTCTTCCCTACCTAGGCTCTGCCTAGAAGGGTTCTTACTCTCTAGCTTAAAGGGGCAGGGCAGTGCTACCCGCCCCAGGTGGTTCCCCCAGTCCCCTGGGAGCGGTTCCCCCAGTTGCGCCCCCTAGCTTTAGCTTTAGCTTTAGCTTCAGCTTCAGCTTTAGCTTTAGCATTAGCTTTAGCTTCAGCTTTAGCTTCAGCTTTAGACTTAGCTTTAGCATTCGCTTTAGCTTTAGCATCGATTTAGCATAGCTTTAGCTTAGGTTTAGCTTAGCTTTATCTTAGTTTTAGCTTAGCTTTAGCTTAGCTTTAGCGTAGCTTTATCTTAGCGTGAGCTTAGCGTGAGCTTAGCGTTAGCTTAGCTTTAGCTTAGCTTTAGCTTAGTGTTAGCTTAGGATTAGCTTAGCTTTAGCTTAGCTTTGGTTCAGCTTTAGCTTAAATTGAACTTAGCTTTAGCTTAGCTTTAGCTTAGCTGTAGCTTGGCTGTAGCTTAGGGTTAGCTTAGCTTTATCTTAGCTTTATCTTAGCTTTAGTTTAGCTTTAGCTGAGCTTTAGCTTAGCTTTACCATTGCTACTCATGCTGCTTTCTTAGGGGCTCCAATTCCTAGGTAGGGTCGCACTGGGATAATTCAATTGTTTGCATCGAGGCCTCCCAGATTGGGTCCGACCAGGTGGGGCCGCCAATGCATCGGAGATGTGGCTCGATGCGGAGCCTGATTTTCTCCACGCTGACGTCGCCGATGCATCGCCGACGTCGCCGATCCATTGCCGATACATCGGCGATACATCGTCGATGCATCGGCGATGCGGCGCGATCCTCCGACCCCATCTACTCGGATCCTATCTAGGAGGCTCCTGTCACAGTCGCGAGCGAGCCACGTGGCGAAGCGCGAGTGGGGAGGGAGGGGAGGGGCGGAGGGGGGGGGGGAAGCATGTGCAGCCCTAGCCTTGGGCTGCTCCGCGTTGCCCTAAACTGGCGGCCCTGGCCGAGTGCAGCCCATCAAGCCCCGGCGTGCCCAGGGGGCACGGTGGCGGATGACGGGTGACGAGGCCATCAAGCCCATGGTGAGGGTGAGCCTCTGCGGAGCGGCTCCAGACAGGGTCACGCAGGAGACCTGCCGCGTCATGGACAACGGCTTCAACCCGTGCTGGAACTGGACCATGACCTTTCGGGTGACCGAGCCCGACGTTGCAGTCCTGGCCTTCGAGGTCTTCCACGTTTCGTCCGCCTCGGACGGCCGGACGGTCACGCCCAGCACGCCCAGCAACGCCGAGCCCTCCGAGGTTGAGCCGCCTGCTCGCTCGCGCGGGTCCGACCGCATATCCGAGTCTTCTGGGTCATCGGCTGCATCGTCGGTGCCACGGACCAGGCTTTCAAGGACCGGGGGGCAACAAGACGACAGCACCGACGTCGGACCTGCCAAGGCAGATCCTGGGCCAAGGCTCGGTGCGCATGCACCCCCAGGCAGGCCAGGAGCCCAGAGCGCCCCAACATCGCGATTTTTGTTCACGAGCGGGGGCCCCCACAAAAACTTCTGGACCCGTCCCCACGGACAAGCTGTTCGCCCCGATTCCTTTTTTGTTGACGGTCCCGGGGCCCGGTGAGGGCCTCCAGGTGCCAGACCGCCATGATATCTCTTCTCGCAGCGGGAGGTGTGCACACCAATCCAGGGCTCCTGCCCCCCGGGCCTGCCGGATCGGTGCATGCCGGGCCAGCCCGGGGTGGGCCTGGCCAGGATCCTTGCGGATGGATATGGGCGCGGGCTCGGCTTTGCCCGAACCCCCCTTGTCGGGTGCTGCCGGAAGTGGCCTTGGTCCCACGTGGCCCCAGATCGGCCAGGGACCTTGCGCCGGAGTGACCTGTGGTGCGGGCGCAGTTGGGGTCGCTAGATTTAAGTCGGGCTTTTCCCTCTACAGGAGGAGTACAAAAATAGCCCAAAACATAGTCCGGGGACGATTTTGTGACTATGTTTGAGCACTTGTGGAATATTTTTGGATCTTTATTTTTCGTCCGAGATGTGCCTGCAGGGGGACACGCCCGACCTGAGCCCAGATGGAGAACGCAAGGCGACAGCAGCGTTTTGCGCGCTCGGGCTCGGCCTCCCCACGGCGCCCGAGCGTTGCGCACTGGAGGTCGCTCTTGCTCGGAGGCACTCCCTGCGTGCAGCCGGCCAGACTTCCCACGGATGGAGGGCGCCGCTGGCTCCCAGAGTGAAGTGGGGTGCGTCCCTCTGCAGGAGGAATATCAAAAAAATCGCCACAAACAAATACGGGGACTATTTTTTCCCCAAACAGCTTGCTGAACGGGGTGCTGTTGTGATAGAAGCTAATTCCGGCCGAGGGAAAGCTAAGCAGAGACATCCTCAAACAAATGTGGTGGTCCGGCCCGTTTCGCCTGAGACATCCTCACAACTCTCGTTTCTGAGTTGTCCGGGATTGAGCGTTTCGCCTGAGACATCCTCCTAAATCTGAGCTCTGAGAGGCCGCGCGAGAGGTGGTCCGGGCCGTTTCGCTTGAGACATCCTCGAAACTCTGAGCTCCCAGATGCCGCGCGAGAGGTGGTCCGGGCCGTTTCGCCTGAGACATCCTCGCAACTCTGAGCTCCAAGATGCCGCGCGCGAGGTGGTCCGGCCCGTTTCGCCTGAGACATCCTCGAAACTCTGATCTCCCCGATGCCGCGCGCGAGGTGGTCCGGCCCGTTTCGCCTGAGACATCCTCGAACTTCTGAGCTCTGAGATGCCCTGCGCGAGGTGGTCCGGCCCGTCTCGCCTGAGAAATCCTTGCAACTCTGAGATCTGAGATGCCGTGCGCAAGGTGGTCCGGCCTGTTTCGCACAAGATATTCTCGCAACTCTGAGCTCTCAGATGCTGCGCAAGAGGTGGTCCAGCCTGGGGGCCCAGAAGGCCACATGTTACATATCCTCCATGGGACCCTGCGAGCCTCAGGAGGCCCCAGAGAGGTCCAGGAGGCCGCAGGACGCCCAGGACAGGCCCCAGGGGCCCCCAGGAGATTCCCAGGAGGCCCCAGGAGGCCCTCTATCAGAACGTGTCAAGTTAATACACATCCGGTGTCGATTCGTTGATTTTTCCTGCTCTTGTGGAGGAGGAGGAGGAGGAGGAGGAGGAGGAGGAGGAGGAGGAGGAGGAGATGGAAGGGAGAAGGAGGAGGCGGATGATGTGCATGAGGGAGCAGGCAGGAGGAGGGGGAGGTCCCAGAGAGCTTCAGGAGGCCGCAGGACGCCCAGGACAGGCCCCAGGGGTCCGCAGGAGATTCCCAGGAGGCTCCCAGGAGGCCCCAGGAGGCCCTCTATCAGAACGTGTCAAGTTAATACACATCCGGTGTCGATTCGTTGATTTTTCCTGCTCCTGTGGCCCCCCCCTGTATTTGGAGAGGCCCAAGCGGCCACAGGTTAGATATCCCCCCTGGGAGCCCCAAGATGCTTCAGGAAACCTCAGGTGGAGTTCAGGAGGCCACAGGAGGCCCGGGAGGAAGCTCCAGGAGGTCCCCAGGAGGCCCAGGAGGCACCAGGAGGCCGCAGGACGCCCAGGACAGGCCCCAGGGGTCTCCAGGAGATTCCCAGGAGGCTCCCAGGAGGCCCCAGGAGGCCGCTTATCAGAACGTGTCAAGTTAATACACATCCGGTGTCGATTCGCTCTCTTGTGCCCCCCCCCCCTCCATTTGGAGAGGCCCAAACGGCCACAGGTTAGATATCCCCCCTGGGAGCCCCAAGAGGCTTCAGGAAACCCCAGGTGGAGTTCACGAGGCCACAGGAGGCCCAGGAGGAAGCTCCAGGAGGTCCCCAGGAGGCCCCAGGAGGCACCAGGAGGCCCCCGCAACTCGGAGCTCTGAGACGCCGCGCTCGAGGTGGTCCAGCCCGTTTCGCCTGAGACTTCCTCGCAGCACGTTTCGCCCGAGACATCGTCGCAACTCTGGGGTCCGAGATGCCGCGCGCGAGGTGGTCCAGCCCGTTACGCTGGAGACATCCTCGCAACTCTAGGCTCCGAAATGCCGTTCGCGATGAAGAGGAGGTGGGAGGAGGAGGAGGAGGAGGAGGAGGAGGAGGAGGAGGAGATGGAAGGGAGAAGGAGGAGGCGGATGATGTGCATGAGGGAGCAGGCAGGAGGAGGGGGAGGTCCCAGAGAGCTTCAGGAGGCCGCAGGACGCCCAGGACAGGCCCCAGGGGTCCGCAGGAGATTCCCAGGAGGCTCCCAGGAGGCCCCAGGAGGCCCTCTATCAGAACGTGTCAAGTTAATACACATCCGGTGTCGATTCGTTGATTTTTCCTGCTCCTGTGGCCCCCCCCTGTATTTGGAGAGGCCCAAGCGGCCACAGGTTAGATATCCCCCCTGGGAGCCCCAAGATGCTTCAGGAAACCTCAGGTGGAGTTCAGGAGGCCACAGGAGGCCCGGGAGGAAGCCCCAGGAGGTCCCCAGGAGGCCCCAGGAGGCACCAGGAGGCCCCCGCAACTCGGAGCTCTGAGACGCCGCGCTCGAGGTGGTCCGGCCCGTTTCGCCTGAGACTTCCTCGCAGCACGTTTCGCCCGAGACATCGTCGCAACTCTGGGGTCCGAAATGCCGCGCGCGAGGTGGTCCAGCCCGTTACGCTGGAGACATCCTCGCAACTCTGGGTTCCGAGATGCCTTTCGGGATGAAGAGGAGGTGGACGAGGAGGAGGAGGAGGAGGAGGAGGAGGCATGTTTTAACATGCCATGCCAGCCCGCACTAGGCGGGCACGCAATCGACCTTGGAAACCGCAGTGGGTCTAAAAACCCTGTTTGGGGATACTGCACTCCGGCTATAATTCAACTATTCTTGATTATTTAGCGTGTTCTTCTGGTACTTTTTTTTCGTCCAAAATCCGCCTGTAGGGGGACACACCCGACCCAATCCCAGAGCGCCCCCTCTCGAGGCTCCAGGCTGGCGCGACAAGCTGGGAGCTCCCTGGGCCAGTGCCACTTTCGTGGCAGCACCGCAAAAATCACCGCCCACTAAACCACCACAGTCCATCCCGAAGGCCCCGATTTGTTGCGCATTTCCAGAGGGGGGGGGGCAGGGGGTCGGGGAACATGATGGAGAATACACAAATGAGGCCCGTAATTATCCCCCCCAACCCGAACTTCGGGACTTCGGGTCGGGGGGGATGGTCTGGTAGGTACGTCGAGGCCCGCTGCTCAAACGCACGGCCCGCGACGGCAGGCCAGCCTCCGGAGCTCCCCCCGACCTCTCTGGCGGCCCCCCCGCCCCCTCGCACGAGCCGCGGGCCCCCATCTGGGGACCCGCAGCTCGCCGGGCCCCCCCCGCTTGCACATAGTAGTTCTCTGTCCTCGAGAGGTCGAAAGTTCCTTGGGCCCAGGGAACTTTCGACCTCTCGAAGAGAGAGAACTACTGTGTGCACATACGCCAACTATGGGCCCAGAATCGGTGCACACGCCCTCGCGGCATAGGCCAGGGAGGCACACACACAGACACACACACAGACACACACAGACATACACAGACACACACAGACACACACAGACACACACACACACACACACAGACACACACAGACACAGACACACACAGACACACACAGACACACACAGACACACACAGACACACACAGACACACAGACACACACAGACACACACACAGACACACACACACAGACACACAGGCACACACAGACACACACAGACACACACACAGACACACACAGACACACACACAGACACATACACACAGACACACAGACACACACAGACACACACACACAGCACGCCCGCACGCCCGCACACGCCCGCACACGCCCGCCCGCGCCCGCACGCGCCCGCACGAGCGCACGCGCGCACGCGCGCACGAGTGCACGCGCGCACGAGCGCACGCGCGCACGCGCGCACGCGCGCACGGCGCACGCACGCACTTAACGCACTTACACTTACACTTACACTTACACTTACACTTACACTTACACTCACAATCACACTTACACTTACACGTAAACTTACACTTACAATTACACGTACACTCACATTTACACTTACACTTAAACTTGCATGTACACTTACACTTACATTTCCACTTCCACGTCCACTTACATTTACACTTACACTTACACTTCCACTTCCACTTACACTTACACTTACACTTACACTTACACTTACACTTACACTTACACTTACACTTGCACGTACACGTACACGTACACGTACACTTAAACTTACACTTGCACTTGCATTTGCACTTGCACTTGCACTTGCACTTGCCCTTGCACTTGCACTTACACTTGCACTTATACTTCCCTACCTAGGCTCTGCCTAGAAGGGTTCTTACTCTGTTAGCTCAAGGGGCCGGGCAGTGCAACACGCCCCGGGTGGTTCCCCCACTCCCCGCCCCGCGGTTCCCCCAG